ATAAATACGATATTAATGCAAGTTCATCTTATTGCAATTGGTCAATCAGATGCATTTATAGCGGCGGGTCAGATATTGGTTGATAATAAGATTCCATGTTATCTTAAAGGGGTTCCATCTCAATGTATCATGCATACAGCAGCAGTTATCATTAGACGACATGAAATCAATGTTTTTTCAAAATGTCAAGTTCTGATAAATCCCATCAGATTTACATGCGAGGAACTTTCGAAGTATCGCACCAACTCTCATCAACCTAGTGAATTTTGCTCCATTTGGCATATTGGTCGTACATGTCCAATGCTGAATATTGTGACCNAAGAACGTATTGAAATTTATCTCCGAATATTTCACTGTATCATTAGAACTATCCATAATATCATCGATTTACTGCACATTAGAAAATCAACAATTTAAAACAACAAATAAGCGGTTCAAAGTAACTTTGCTGTATTCACACTCAAAAAGTAGTTAGGAATATAAAATTTGGAAAAAATTAAACATCTGAAAGTTAACAGTGGATAATTCTAAAAGATAAACGGAACTATTGAATGCACATGAACATATCACAAATTGAGCATAAAATGGAACATTCTGCGTTACTTTATACAGAATCGTTTGGTTGTACAACGAGAACAGAACGCTTGATCAATTTAACAACAACACGCACATGAATGAAGCGAATAATCACACGAATCGTCGCATATTCCACAAGGAACAGCTCCAATCCTCAATCGCTACAGTTCGTAATCTCTCAGAAATGCACACATCGGGACACGTTTCACACTCACTTGAAACAATTCATTCATAACGAGTATACGCATACGTTTCTATCTCAAATCTTTCTTTTACACAATTAAGTGACTCAGGATGACACATTATTTTAATTACTAACAATAATATTATTAGATTTTCGGTGCTTGTTGCGAAAAAAATAGATTTGTTTATTGAATCAGCACTTACGACAAGTTTATGCCTCTCAGTTCACGTCAACATTATTGACTTTCTACGTGAATTAATACTGATTGAACAATATTGAAATTACGTTTTGTAAAGAACTGTAAAATGCAAATGAAATATGGAATAACAATATGGAATACACTGGATTGTGCAGGTACGCGTGTGTCGGAGTGTTTAATAATTGGACCAGAATATGAGTAAAAGATTGGAATGGTTTCATTTTGAGCCCTGCTGCTTACTTTGCAAAAAGTTTTCGGCCTTCCGCAACAACTTAGCCATATCGTCGAAATGCGCCGTTTCGATTGCCTCCTCCAGTGGCAGCCATTTCATTTTTTGGTGTTCATCCGATAATTTTATGGCGTCATTGTCACATAACCGTGCCAACCAGTATTTTACCGTTTTCTGAAATATGATTTTTGAATTCAGCAGAAATATTTTCATTTCGTTTTTAAAAATTCCTAAAACTATCATGTGAAGCTACATAATGACATTTCGTTCGTGTATAAAAACAATGTGATTCTTATGAATCAGATGTGACTTAAAGGATGAAAAAAAGAAAACATTTTAGGACGCATTGCGGATATTTTTTGGGAAAGAAGTAATCTGTGACAGTGAATGAAAAGGAAACACACATCTTTAGTAACTTCTCCGTCATATCGGCTCTGCTTAACTTGATAGCGTAAAACCTCTTCGAAATCCTTATGTACATCCAGATGCTCTAGGCCAATACCGGCCTCTTCTTTCGTTTCACGAACAGCTGCTGCCCATTCATCCTCACCCGGATCAACATGACCTCAAAGGAGCGGATCGTTGAAAAAAGCAATATAACATGCAAATACTGACTAATTTATTCGGCATTCGTGCGCAAACGCTAGTTCAATGTATTCTACGAGTAAAACATTCAAAATTTCTCGATGTGAACGGACTAAATAACGATGACCGAATGCATTTCTAATCAAATTTTTTCATCGAATCCACAAAAAATAAGGAAATGTGACGCTAGTATACATGAAGCTCCGATGGGATTTAAGAAATTCGTGAAAATGGCAACTACCTTTCGGTGGTGTCCAGTGGTACGGTGGATAGGAGGCTTGTAATAACAGATATTCAAATTGGTTATTTGCGTTTCGGTATATCAACATGCCAGCAGCACGTACCGCCGCTGCACACATTTTAGCTGTAGCTTGTTTATTAAGGCTGAAAATTTTTGGACGTAACAATTACAGATATTGAGCAAGACTGTCGTAGACTCGTGAGCATTTCCATTTTTTTAAACAGAATCATATCCATATTCTTACACCTAACGTGTTTGCAAAACGTGGCAATACAATAAGCTTGAGTGAACTCTGAATGATGAGTCTTAACTGAGCAATTCAGCAGGTTTCCAAGAAAACACGTGGTGAACCTCAGTCCCAGCGTAGTTCTCGACCTAACGTCCGTGATAAGTCTCAGCTTAAGCTGAATCCCATTGTTCTTTTTCATAAACACGTTACGACAAAATTGCGGAGCTAAACCCAAATGCATTGAAAATGCAATCTCAAATTGCAGGAAACTTTATCTCACACAACTCTCATAAACCTGGATGAAACGATTTCTTCTTCCAAAGAAAATCCGAGTTTATAAATTAGATGTGGTAATAATATATCTCTAAAAACGCTTAAAAGGTAGAATTGCTTAAAAGAGTATAGCGTAAGCTGCCAAACATTCAATTCCAAAAAACCCTATGGCTATTCGAGAGATGACATGTACAACTTTCAACAATGTGCCAGTGACTTTTGAAATATATTATTTTTGAATTGATTTCTCCATAATCAACTAGGAAACAATTTGTTCAACCAGTCATGCAGGTGATATAACACTGAAATGTGGAAGCAAAGGAAAAAAAGCATTACAAAACAAGTACAGTTCATAGTCAGATAAAATATGAACAATTCAACTTTTTACAACAATATCATAACCGTATGGATGAATAACTGCAATGAATTAATGTTCAGTTTGCTTGACTTATATCCGGTGATGAAGTCGAATCATCAGCTTGAGGAAACTCCAAAAACTCGACCTAGCACGCAATGAAAAAACACCTTCAACTCAAATGACAGTTTGAAAGAAATTGATAGCCTCTCCCGTCCCATCTGCTTGAATTTAGCATAAGCAC